TATATATATATATATATATATATTGCAATATGTTTGTATTTTTTTTCTGTTGTTCATATTGCAACTGAGAATACATACAACAATGAAGAGACTGCCCTATGGAATATTAATGTATTATATTTTAAGTGCAACAAAAATGCATAATTAACTGGACACAAGATGTCTTGTATATTTATTAATGTACAAGCTCAACACCTGCGGCAGAAACATTGATGACTTAATCCAATCAAAATTTCAACAACTAACCTTAAGGTCATCCAGTGGAACAGTGGTAATTTTACGGACATACAACAATAAAATCCGGGGTTCGATTCTCCGTTGTGGACAGAGAGCAGATAATCAGCCCATTGTGTAGCTTTGGGTTAAAACAAACAAACATATTAAAATAATCGTCATTTCACTGTGCGATTATGATAAAAAAAAGTACATCCTACTCCGTGTTTTAGAAACTAAGCAAAAAGTTACATATTAAAGGAATGTTGTTATTTATGGCTATTCAGATACAATTCATACTTAAGTTTGGTTATTAATTAATGAAGTAGCATTACTATTTAAGCTGAACGGGTGTCATCCCTGGGAAAAGATTGGCATCGAGCTTGTCTGAGATGTGAAAAGTGCAACAAGACGTTAACACCAGGATCTCATTCTCAGGTGAGATTGTCTAATATATTTCTTGTTAATAAATCAAGGACATCTTCTTAGTTCGAAACAGAAAATCCGTAATTGTGAACAACCCAGGAACGCTAGAAATAAAATTTTGTAACAGTACTTTTTATATAAGTCAAATTGCTCAGTTTATTTAGGAAACAGAACGTTTTTCTAAGGATTTATTTAAATACTTCCTTCAAAATATTGTTGCTTTAAAGTATCAAAGACAAAGCAACAGATGTTCTGTGTTTCTTATGTTATTCTCAGTAGGAGTTCTAATGTATATTGTATTAATTCTTGCTCTATTTAGTTTTATTGGGTTTTATTCAAGTATCTAATGCAATAATTGGGGCGGGCAATTTTGCAGCTACTACGTCATAGTTCCTTTTCTACCGATTTTGTTACGTAACAGGATATTTTAGCCTGTGATGGGAACACCCTTGAAAGGAAAAAAAACATTGCATGATGTCATATTTATAAACAGTTCAAAACGTTTGAACATGTTATTTTAATGGGCATACGTCTATAGTATTTCCGAGTAGGTCAAGGAATTTCCTAATATACCACTTGGTTTGAAGCTAACGTCATCTCTTAATAGATTGTATACTAAGTAAATAATTCCGTATTATGCTGACACAATGAACATATTATACAGTAGCTTAAATTGAAATGTCTTTTTTTATTTTTAATATCCATAAACAAAGACTGCCTTTAAAAGGGATTGAAAGTGTGTTGCATTTCTAATATTCGCTTCAGAGAAGTGACCCTATACACTAATTGGAATAATAAGCACAAGTGCTACTTTATATTGCTAACAATAACACATTTTACCTGTTAAGAAAATAATCAATGTTATATTTATATCTTATAATGCACAAGCAACAAATAAAAAACAGGTGAGTGTATATTAAATACAAAACTTCAAATACGTTATTGCTACATATATAGGACAAAGGTGTATTTAAACTAAAACTAAAATATGTCATCGCTACATAAAAAGGACAAAGGTATGTTTAAACTAGGACTAAAATACGTTATTGCTACATATAAAGGACAAAGGTATGTTTAAACTAGGACTAAAATACGTTATTGCTACATATAAAGGACAAAGGTATGTTTAAACTAGGATTAAATTACGTTATTGCTACATATAAAGGACAAAGGTATGTTTAAACTAGAACTAAAATACGTTATCGCTACATAAAAGGACAAAGGTATGTTTAAACTAGAACTAAAATATGTCATCGCTACATAAAAGGACAAAGGTATGTTTAAACTAGAACTAAAAACTCCCAATAACTAGCAAGATACTCACACTAGGCGCAGCGTTTGTTTGTAGGAGAGATAGGGACGACGTGCGTATGTATCATTCTCCAGCAGTAGCTGTCAAGCTCTTAAAAATGAGAAAATGAATAAAGTAAGGATTTAGAAACACTTTGGAGAATACCCAAGAACACATAATTTCACTTTCATCAAAAGCAGGAAAGCTGACAAATGTTCGTTTCGAACAGACGCAAAACGCTTTGTAGTATCGATGAAACTTTTAGTGTCGTTTTCAGCTACTTTGTTTAATACAAAATCTATCTGACACAAGAGTATTTGTAAAAAAAATTATACCCATGTTACATGTGTCAAGCTTGTTCAAAACACTCATTTAAACGAATCAAGTACAATTACAGTCAACAGTGGCAATTGTGTCATAAAAACTTGGCTCCCAAATCCCTGTGTTGTATACGAACAAAAAATTACACGAATGTATTCAATTCTGTTACTTTTCTTTGTGACTAAACGCGTATGAACTTAAAAATGATATTCTGAAAAGCTGTAATGTTTGCTTTTATTCATTTCTTAGCATGATGGAAAGCCATACTGTAACAACCCATGCTACAGCGCCCTTTTTGGACCTGGTGGTAAGTGTGAACGTGAATGACCTGATTATATTTTGTTTGAGAATATTATTATGATAAGCGTACCTGGTTATTTGTTTTAATTAATGCCAAGTGTAAGCAACATTGATATATAAGTTTTTGTTAATCTTGCCCGTTTATAAAGTTTTATAGAAGGTGCTTAGAAGTATTTTAATAATAGTTAAATAGAGAAAATGTTCACGTAATGTATTGCAGTCTAATATACGTCCGTTCTTAGAAGTATTTTAATAATAGTTAAATAGAGAAAATGTTCACGTAATGTATTGCAGTCTAATATACGTCCGTTCTTAGAAGTACAAAATTTTGTTTTTATACCAACAACGAGCATGCATTCCTAATTGTAACGAAGAGAATATACTCGATAAGGAAACAAGGTGTATTTGTTGAATCTCGTGTTTTTGCATAACTTTAACAAGTTCAAACCGCACATCGTCACTCTTACTTTCACAAAGAGATGGCATTCAAGTTTTCCGAAGTGAACTGAGATGGAGGTAAAAGAAAGAGCAAGCACAATATAAAGCTCTATTGTTAAAGAACGTGCATGGTACTGTATGCACAGACTTGAACAGTACAAATAACACAATAAGCCTATGTTATCAAAAATGAAGAGTGATTATATGGGCATAACTCTCTCATTATAGAAGATTTAATTGTGAAATGTATAACTCAAACAATGACCAATCTAATAGTAAATTTATTTAACATAAATTTAGATATTTATTACTAGATACCATTTTATATACATTGAAAATTAAACTACGTCCAAATGTACTTTGCAATTACAGACATTCTGACAAAACTCAGTAAGAACCATCATAGAAAGGAAAAACGTTCAGTCGGAAACTTTTAAGTGTTCCACAATAAGATTGATTTTCCAGTGAATGTTTTCTCTAGTTAGTTAGTTAGTTACACACTTGGAAATTTTACTCACCTTGGGTAAAGCTGATAAAAGAAAAAAACACAGACGAAATCACCTTAATCATATACATCCAGAATAAGAAATAGAAAGTTTTATTTATCGTTTCCCAGAGGCTTTTAATGGGTTAAGTGAAATTAGTCTAGGAAAGAATTAAACTTAGGTTTAAATTAACTTAATGAAACCATCACCGTTGGACTCTTGTACTTTATTTGTCAAGCGGAAACACACGAAAAGAAAAATATTAATATATGACTACATAAAAAATAATATAGATTTCCACAGTGAACAAGCAAGCAACTTATCAAATAACTTTAGATCTAATCATTAGGTGTTTATTAGTTTCAGTCGCTACACGAATTTATTAGCCCAAGAATAAGTACTTTCTAAAAAACCGATTAATCTAAGGTCATACTTGTTATTTTGTATAAAGTTTCTCATACGATTATACTTAATCAGGAGAGTTACAGTGAGTCAGTGAAAGAACCGTTTAGTTAAGTTCAAGATTTTGGGGACTCCTACTTGCTGCCCTTTACTAATTATTATTTTTCTTAATAGAAAGTACTAAACTCAATCTAAGTTAAGCTTCCGTAACCGTTTCAATCCTATGAGAATTTTTCATTCAGTCAAAATTAATTTCAACTGTACGAGACGTTAGTTTACACTGGAGAACAAAATAAACTTGCTACTGGAGAAAAATCAAGTGATTTGGAGTGATTTGATGGTGGAGATTTTGAGTTATTGTAATATCTCAATATTTTATCACCACTATGTTAAATTCCATGCAATCAACTCAGTACAATAGATTTATGCGGTGAAATTTAGTTTACTTGGACAGTTTGATAGGTAAAAGGCATACATTTTTGATAACTCCAAACATTGACTATATTTTATTGGTGTAAAATTCCAAATATATTGTTCATATAAGATATTTATTCTCGATATAATTGTAGCGAATTGCATCACTTTTGCTTCATTCCCCCGCCCACCTGCTCCATTCGAGAATTACGAACCCTCAAGTGCTCAGTTTATTGGAACATTTGAGAAGTCCCTCGATTGAGCATAAAAAGGGCAGAGACTTTGCCTCGCACCCTCGCACAATCAAAACAGAGTCCAGTCTTCTTCCCTACATCATACCCGCAATATAATCAGATTCTGCAAAACTTTATTTATCAAATATTTTAAACTATATTTCAGTAACTATAAATTATTTTATATATTTTTAGAAAATCATTTGAAATGCTGGCTGCCTCCACTTCGAGTAAAGTCCGAAAGTGTAAAAATCACCCAAACAGTTTCTGCTACATTTGTGGTAAATATATTACAGCTTCACGAAGGAAAAACATCACACACAAGGTAAAGGTAGCTTACTACCACTATTTTGTGTGAAAAATTGGTGGCCAAGAAAAACATTGGGCTCCACATGTGTGTTGTACATTTTGCACATCTGGCTTGAAACAGTGGCTGAATAAAAAGAGAGCAAGTATGCCATTTGCAGTTTCCATGATATGGCGTAGGCCCAAAGATAATCTAACTGATTGTTATTTTTGCATGACTAATGTTTCTGGATATTCAGGAAAAACCAAAAAATACATTAAATATCCAGATATTGCACCTGTACTGAAACCAGTACCTCATGGGGATGGTCTTCCAGTGCCACGTCCACCAGCAAATTGGGAAACAGACTGAATCATCTTCATCCTCTTCATATAGTAATTCTATTCCTGTGGCACCTGAACATGAACTGTTTCTGTACAAATGTTGATGCACCAATGGAAGAATTAGGTACTGAACATCATCCTCAAGAATGGAGACTTTTTATCAACTCATCTAAAGCTAGTCTCAGAGCTGTTCTTTTGCACAATGAGAACACTAAACATTGATTCTTATTGTTCATGCTGTGAACATGAAGGAACTTATTAAAGCATGTAGATTATAGGTGGAACGTATGTGATTATCTAAAAGTTACTACACTCCTGCTAGGCCTGCAGTGTGGGTAAACCAAACATTGTTGCTTTTTGTCTCTCTGGGACAGCCAAGATAATAAAAAAGTCATTTAAAAAAGAAGGAATGGCTAGTGAGGGAGAATTACATACCAGAAAAACAGAATATCGAGTATCAACCTTTAATAAATCCTCAAAATGTGTTTCTGCCCCCACTTCATATTAAACTGGAAATGTAGAAGGAATGAACAAAGATGTTAATGGTTTCAGATATCTGTCTGACAAGTTTCCAAAAATTAGTGACGCAAAAATGAAAGGAGGTATTCTTTGTTGGTCACAGATTCAGGAAGTGCTAATGGATGATGATTTTGAAACAGTACTCAATCAGAAAGAACTTGCTGCCTGGAAATCATTCAAATTGGTTGTCAAAAATTTTTTAAGAAATCACAGAGATGAAAACTATGCTGTGGTAATTGATGGTATGCTTGAGACCTACAGGATGTCACTAAAGATACACTTCTTACACTCCCATTTAGACTTCTTTCTAAATGATCTGAGTGCAGAGAGCGATTAACATGGTGAGCGCTTTCACCAAAGTATTTCTACAATGGAACAGTGATATCAAGGACGATGGAATCCTGCGATAATGGGAGATTACTATTGGTTCTTATAGCGTGAAACTGAGAACATACACAAATGGTGCAACAAATCAATTAGCTATTTTGTAAAAAAAAATAAAAGATAATAACACGATGAAAATTTTGAACATAGCCTGAATGTATTTTCTATATATAATCTTATTATATTCATTGCTTTTTTAAGCTGGTATTACTATCATGTATTGTTTTTCAACATTCTTAAACGCAATTTTCAATTAATAAATAAGTTATTAAAGAAAAAGTTATTCTTACGATATATAAGAATATTTTGAATGAATATATCATAACTCAAAAACTAGAGGCGATCATTACTTTTCAACATGATTTTTAGAATCAACATCATCAAATTACTCAGAAACAGTTTTTTCTAGTAGCAGAGAAAAACATTCTTGCCCAGTATTATCAACAGCGAGTTTTATTGCCGTAGAAAAAAAAAACATAAAAAGATCAAACGCAGTTCAATTTACTCTTTCTGTCGTAAACATAATTATGTATTTAAAATTCATCCTGTCTAACAAGCCCTCCAGTGGCACAGTGGTATGTCTGCGGACTTACAACGCCAGAAACCGGCTTTCGATACCGTGGTGGGAAGATCACAGATAACCCATTGTGTAGCTTTGTGCATAACAACAAACAAACAAAGCTGTTTCACTAGTGGAGTTTTCTTAGACACTCTTTGTAGCTTGTTTATTTTTTACTTTTCTATTAGTAATATTTTGACACCAATTTTTACCTTTTCATATGGTATTTGTCTCAAATGATACCGTTTAGCCGAAAAAGTCGTCCTCACACTCAATAAAAAAGTTTCAATAATAGTTTCATTTCCTAAACACTATAGTATATGTGCCCAAAAGGTGTAGAGGGTAGCCCCCTCAGTTATATTTCTAACCCACATTATCCCCCTCACTGGAAAGAAGCTGGCAACGACCCTGGTTTTAGGAGGTGAAAATTTGTTTAAATTAAATTTGATCATTTCTCTGCCGTATGCTTCTAAGTCCTCCAGAGGCTCATCAAATAATATTATCTTAGGACCATTCTGATTCTTACATACTCAAATTAAGTTCGAATAAATTTAACAACTTCTTTACTGAAATGAGAAATATTACGCAGTGATTTTATACTAAAAATTGTCACTTAACCTATGAAATGATATTTATCTATTTTAAGGAGCTTCTTCTATCAGGTTCGAAAATGGAAAAGGTGGGAAATATACATTTTGTCACTTTCAAGAATAACGAAGGGTTAATCTAGTTGTGAGAAACTATGATTCATTTGGATTAACTTTTTCGAAGTTTCCATAAAAGTATGAAAAATAACAAAATAATTCTCTAGCTAGCTAAATGGTGTTAATATTGATTTTGTTTCACAAGTGGTGTTTTCTTAGACACTCTTTATAGTTTGTTTATTTTTTACTTTTCTTATAGTAATATTTTGACACCAGGTTATACCTTTTCATATGGTATTTCTCTCAACTGATACCGTTTAGCCGAAAAGTTACTTAGTCTCCCTGTAGTCCTCGAACTTCTTATAGTTTTGAAATTTGTAGAAGACAAATCATTTCACTAACCACAAAAATTATAGGGTTAATAGCCCAGTTTATTTATCACTGTATTCCTTAGAGCCAGCTAGGTTCTTAATAGACTTTATTTATTACATACTAGATGATACTATTCATTTTAGACTATATTTGCTTAAGATAACGTCCTGTTGGAAAATTATTCCGACGAGCTCCAGTTAATTAATACTTTTAAATACATAATTATTTTCACGGCAGAAATAGGCACTTTATTTTTAAGTCCAGCAATTTTAGCTGAAAATTAGACTCACCTAAATTGTATGCATTATGACAAAAGGATGTCGCTAACTACTACATGAATCCATGAATGCTGGATGCAAGTTGAATTATTATTTCAATTTCCCATTGAAGTAAAATCTTTAAGCTTAAACTAAATGATTGTGTTATTTAAAGTTGTAAGTTTATTCAATCATTACACTACCATTACCATTTGATTGCGTATATGGTTTGTTTTTAATGATCGCTAACGATAGACTCTTAACACCTGCCACACGAGCCAGTCCGGCATCTTGATGTGAATAAAAAAATGAATTATTCCGGAAAGACTTAGGGTGTTTTAATTAGACAAAAAGATGACGTTTGACAGTATTTTCGAGGTATAAGTCGAGACCATGAGAACCAACTTGTAAATATAAAATCAAACGATGTAGCAATGAAATATGCTTGATATGTTCTAGATTGGTTGTGCATGTGATGGATTAAGTGTAGCGATTAAGCTAAACCGTGGGTCTAAGTCGGATGAGGGAAGAACTTATTCGAAGATATCTCAATCGATTTAACATACCAACTGAATCGGAAATTAGTCAATTGATTACTCTATTGACAGCGAAACATAAAAAAATGGGCCCAATAGTATTGTTATCTTCAAAAGGGAGATTGGAATTATACATCAGAAATCATTAGTTTCAATATTTTATGAAACTAACGGCACAGTAAAGCCCAAAGATGCATTATTGAAATTGAACCAGATGCACGATGCATTACAAGATGATTTACTAAGCGATTCTCACACTAAAAATGCCATTTCTGTAATAAAGAGTAAATATACAAAATATGGTATAATGCTCAGTATGATACTACCTTGGTATAATTCCTATAGATTTCATCATGTCATATTATTCATTAATATTGTGTTTTTGTTTTCCGTTTTGAAAGTTATGCCCAGCTTCATTCATCGAGATCTATCAAAATAACCCTAAATCACCTGTTAACCATTCTGGGCTAAGCACTGAAAGATGCTGGGCTGGCTCGTGTGGCAGGTGTTAAAAAACTAAATAAAACTCTGGAAAAATGTTATTATTAGGATAAAATGAATTTGACTAGCAAAGTGATTTCGTGACAAAACAGTAAATTATTTAAATGTTTTTTACAAGGGTTAACTGCTAAAACCACTTGAGAGGTGAGAATGTTAATCTATAATGTGGAAAAAACCCACTGTAGGAAAAATTATCATTTTCAAAATGAGAATAAACCACTTTGTACATAGGATACAATCTTAAAGTAGAACCTTCCACTTTGAACATGAAAGTATCCTACTGTGGGTGTCTCCTGGTGGGATAGTGGTAAAAGTACGGACTTGAAAAGCTAAAATCCGTGGTTCGATTCCCTGCGGTGGGCACAGCAGTAGCCCAACGTAGCTTTGCTCTAACACAAAGTTTCCCTACTGAGAGATAAATTAAATGGAGAAAAGATTCACTTCAAAATGGAAACATTTCTTTAAAGATTGTTGGATTTAGTTTTCTTGTAGATTGACTCATTTTACAAGTGAATGCATAATTTTGCAAGAGAAACCAGCTAGTTTGATCATATTAGTTGAACTTTTTGGTGTCTCATTCAATCTATTTAGCATAATAATTAGTTTATGTTTAGGATTTTGTATTCAAATTTACAGTATAGAGGTTGAGTACGTTATATTAAAACAATTTTGAAGCCTCACCAGATCGTAACAGCTAATGTAATCATGTCCAGTCATGCTCTATCTGACGATCATGCATCTTGACAATAGCCTTGCAGCGTTGTTTTCACAGCAAAAGCTACTTCATAAGACTATTATATCCAAAGTACACTACTCTTCCATGCCTTCCTTCCATAGTCCATTTAGTATATGAGGACGATTGTTTCCCAGCATTCATTTTGACAATCTGATCGTACAGAAATCCACAGATGTTGCATTCGGCTACTCGACCAGTATATCTACATACGAAACATCATGATTACTTGTTTCATTCTCCAGCTACTTGAGGTATGCGACGGTTGAACGAATGGTACGACTGGAAGTCTTATCTTGATGAACAAATATTTTATTGGCTTTGTTTCGAGACGCAATTCTTTCTTAATTATGCTGTGTATTGGTGCTTGAGGCACGTGGAGAGCTTTTACTACTGATCTTTGTGTTTGTGGATTCTCACCTGTTACAAGACGCTGCACTTTGCTTACCACAGCTGGGGTACGACTTGTTGCAAGTTCTGGTGCCCCAAGTTGATTCATATATCTTTGTTTTTGAATGTCATTAAATCCCAGACATATCTTCATCTGAGCGCATCTTTTTTATCTAAATGTAAGGAAATCTGCGTCAAATAGGACTGTTACATGCTCTTCTCAATAGCAATCAGTTTTCAGTAGCATCACACTACCTAAGTAACGCTAAACAATGTCAAAATGTACATTTAATACATACCGTTCCACCGCGACATTATATCGGCTATGGGTTTCACCTATCTTGATGAGTTGCATATTAAAAATCGTTTTCATAATAATGGACTCAACTCTCTGTGTGAGTATGATAATGATACTAAGTATATTAAAGAAGGATTATTACATTATACATAACATTTCATGTAAGAAGAGGAAGAAGTGGGACTAAAATAACTTATTTTTAAATTATATCATATGTTGACTTCATTTGTAAAGGACCAGGTACCATAAGAAAAATAAGAACTGGGGATGTTTCTTAAAGCAGGAGGATGGCTCCAAAATAATTTATATATATATATATATTAAGAAATGTGTGAAATGATGTTTAATATGAAATTACTTGTTTATTGCAGTTATAGTTGGTTAATATAATTTGTGCTTTTTTTTTTTCAGGATTCGGACGTGGTGGAGCTGAAAGCTATGTCTACAAATAAACATTCTTTTCCGTTATCCACTAATTCTTTTACAAAAATGAAATCGATTTTGGGAAAGAAAAATTGCGATTTCATTATGAAAATTATAATTTTACTCATTTTATAGCACACATTTTCAGTTTGATGTCTTTAATGAAGTTAAAATGTAGATACACTAAACAATTCTCAATTCGTTAGATGACTCTTTATTTCCAACTGCAATTCTTACTACAACGTTACTTTAAAATCGTACTGCAGTTCACATCTGCAAACGTTTTATACAAATAAAGATTTATACTTACTAGTTTTCTGACAAGTATTATTATTACCTATTTTCTACATAAATGTGTACTAATCAGTTTTTACGGCACTTTATTTACGGATGTGGAAGAAACAATTCTAAAGGTCCCGTAAATATTAAACACAGTCATATTACGGAAAGAGTTTCAAAATATGTCATAAAACAGTTATGAATTCTTAATCAAGACTCATCGTTCCTGAATGTAAATGAAATATTATAGTTCTAATAGATTAACACAGAGTACAATGTTACAAGCAGGAGCGTCATATTCAATAGAAGATCTTATAAATATTTTATAAATTTTTAAAACAGTATTCATATTAGAACGTTGATTCTTATTTATTAATTTAATTTACTTTATTTTTTCATATGCATTTTCCAAATTCAATTTTTTATCAAAATTGTTAACTAAGAATTCAGCATTATTGGAAGTTTTATTAACTTTATCATATACCACAACAGCTTGACTTTTTTATATATTTTCCAAAACTTTTCTATTATTACTTACTCTATGAAAAATAACAAAATTTGCTTTAACTGGATTAACATTATTTTCAATAAGGCACAACAAAGTATCAGATCGATCAGGGCCAACTAGATCTTCTGAGTAGTTCTATTTACGTATACTAGTATGCTACGTCATCAGCAAATTGTGACAGTTGAATTTCATTAAACAATTCATATGGACATGGTAAATCATTTACATATATTGTATAAAGTAGAGGATTAATAACAGTCCCTTGAGATACACTTTATTTAGGGCTAAAACTTTCTGATATGAAATTATTTACTAATATTTTGATTATCTTTCATTTAAAAGAACATTTTATCCATCTTATGTAATTGCAAGGCATATAAAATTCAGTAAACAATTTGAATAATAACCCATTATATCAAACAGTATCGGAAACCTTTTCTATATCCAGAAAAACAGCTGCTGTAAAATATCCACCATTAAATCCGTTATGCATAATTTCAGTCCATCTGTTAGCATGGTGAGATGCTTGCTTATTTTTTCTCGAAAAACGTCGATTTGAGAACATAAGCTAAAAATAATGATAACCTAAATAAATCACACATTTTTAAGTAAAATCTCATTTACTACTATTTGTAATTAAAATGAAAGTAACCTCATCTTCTCCATGTGTTTTATTTTTTGTTTCTTTTAGAAACCCTTTAATTTCATATACATTAATCATTGAATTATCAATATCAACATCCAGAGGAGAACTCATTTGATTGGGAGTCATAATTCTTGTATCAATAGGAAAAACCGATAACAATGTAGGGATTTGATCAATTCAACTATTTACATACTCGATCCATTAATTGTTAAAACTAGAGTAATTCTTTTTAGTATATACATTTAAAAAAATATTTCTAAGCATTTTAGCTTTATATAAATTACTACTGGCTTTAACTCTTTCGTGTTTTAAGATACAATTTCTATTAGTATTGTTATCATTTGTGAAAATTATTTTTTCTTCTGATCTTTAATTAAATTTTTACTCTCTTTTTGCTTGATGTATCATTTTTTAACCTTTCCATCATTAGTTTCACATGTATTCTTTTAATTTTAATTATATTTTTATATCTGAAATACTATATTCTACGTCAATATGAAAACTGTTGATAACTGATTACATAAAAATCATTATCTTTGGGTGAGTTTGCAATAGTCCAATTGAAAATTTTAATCATAAGATTCTGAGTTATTTAAAATTTCTCCCAGTCTGCATTCTTTATATCCTTAATAGTTTCGTAATTTCTGTCCGACGTATGAAGTTCCGAAATGCCCATTTTTAAGCCCTGACTTATATTGCAAAGCATTCTTTGCTTGTTTCAATACAATTATCCACCCTATTTCCTAGAGCGTATCCGCATGTACAACTGTGATGTATATCTAAAACTGGTATCGTCTACAATATTTCCTGGAATAACCAGTTTCATACAAACTAGTCAATGATGTGGAGTTTCAGCTTCTCAACGTATGTAACACATATATGCCCACTGTATAATCCTTTAAAGTCATAATTAAGTCGTTGACAAACAAGTTGGTTTGTAGACAAGTACCACAGCCATATCCAGTCACTAGACTCCAACTTTCTTTCCATTAGTATTTTGCCATAAGATCTCTTTTGACAAACAGACGCTCTACCCATTTGCTGTCATACAAATTCATGTGTTTTGACTGTTGTAGAATGTATTCACTTCTGCACTGGGGTGAGGATTATATCGCAGATCTACAGAATAGCATACTTCTTGTCCAAACATTAGGATATTCTTTAAAAAATCAGTCGCCTCTTGCACAGTTGCATGTTTTGCCATCGTGGCATATTGTAGGAACTTGTTCTAATTCATTTTACAAAAGCAAGGATTTATAAACATAGCAAGCATACACTTGATAGTTTATTCTGCCCTTTCAGCAAATCATGAAACTGAGGATGATAAGGCGAAGTGCATGTTTTCAACACACCTAATATCCAACATAACTCTTCAAACAACTTACTATTGAAATCATGTCCTTCATCCATATAGATCTTCCCAGATGTACCATGTTCAACCAACAAATAAAAAATGGGCTGTTTTTTTCTACCCAGCTATAACCATGGCAATTCTCTTCAGAGAGGAGCTTACCACTTTCTGTCAGAGTTTTACCCCTACCTCCTGTGATCAATTTTTCCTATGGAGAGTGCATATCGTACAATATCTAAACCCTGCTCAATGTCTTGATGTGAATGCAACCAAGAAAACAATTTCTCACATTTACAATAGTGCATGACACTCCGTAATGCCATCCATTTATTGCATTACGTAATGTCTCAAGATATTCTTGCCTTATTGCTCCTGGAAGACTTGGAGTTATAGATGCATTACAGATTGGCTACCACGGCTCAGTAGATCATAATGATAGTACAGCATGTCATACTGCGTTCATAATGGACTATACAAGTGCAAGTGCCAGATAATGTTTACGCCAGTACTATTTTTGTTAGTTTGTGATGGGTGCATGCTACTTTTTTTGTATGGCAGATATCATCAAAGAAAGTTCTGGGTAATTTAATTACCCCTTCCAAAGTTCTTGATTAGTCACCCGTGGTAAAGATTCAAATATAGAAATATTAGTGTCCACATGGTTCATCGTCATTGCTACTGCAGTGACTTTAACCAGTGCATAGAAATGAATAAAAACCCTATAACCCGAGCCCTTTCAAAAGGTGGACCTTTCTTCTTCAGTGGCAAACTGGGTCTACCTTTCGAAATCGTTCGGGTTATAAAGTTTTTATTCATTTCTATCAAGACTTCTTGAACCTACGTGTTTTTCTAACATCATGAATTTAACCATTACATGATGTTCAGAATATGAACATCCAATAAACAAAACTGACCTCTCAGGTTGGCGAGATAATATTTCAGCCTTTCCATCCTGCTGTAGTCTGCAGGATCATTGTGAGACATGGTCCAGTCGAATGTTAAACTCCCTACTATACAGGTAGTGCTGTCGTAATGCTTGACAACTTGCAAGCAATTCTTTCTTTATTGTACAGTATTGACATTCAACAAAAGTTAACATATTACTTGCATATGCAGTCACTCGTTCCATGCCATTTTGTACTTGTACTCCAATTCCACTATCACTGCTATCCGTATCTAGAAGAAATGGACAATTTGCAACTAGATAATCAAAACCAGTTGCTTTAAATAAGGTGTGTTTCAAGAAATAGAATACTTCTCTATATTTTTGTGTCCATACAAAGCTTACATATACCTTAGTCAATGCAAAACAGTTGTACAGATTTTTTGAAAACATTGGCCACAAACTCTTGTCCTAGAAATATGTGGATTTCTTGTTTATTAGAAGGAATGGACCAGTCCTGGACCACTATTTGCAGTATGAGTGAATACATCATCTCTTCCGACTCAATGATGTAAGAATCTCCAATCGGTTTTATGGACTGCTCTGTTATTCAATGAACTAAATCCGTAGTACATCACCTTGACAACTGTGTTCCAGTCTTTGAGTTGTTCTTTGTCCAAGTACTCTAAAGCATCAAGTTGAACACTGTTTAGGAACATCATCAGAGGTTACCTTGCCTGTTCCAGACTCTATCCATTCCAAGTAACAACTTACTTTAAACACTTGAAGAAATGGTCCAAATCGTCTTTTATCATTTCCTTAACACTGTGAGGTTTACGCGTCTCACAGTATCCCCAAAATTAAAATGTTTGTGCTGACAGGAGCCTGTTCCTAGCTTCTCTACAGCTGCATGACTGAGAGGCTGTAAACATTAAAAGGGCGCCTTTATATTCTCCTCCAAGTCCAGAAATGCATAAATCCCGATGATGTGATGTCTTTGGATGAAGTCAATAGTCTAATGACTCTAATTGCATTAGCCCAAACACCATTTTTGCCATTGTAATGACATTTTGTGTTACACAACACTACATCATTAGATTACACAGTCTCCACAGCTGCTGGATGCAGTTTTGGAGTGTCATTAGTGTGCCTTATTGGCCTGGAAGTCTCATAACAAATTTTTGATCCCGTTGAAGTTTATCAAGATGCCACATATTCTGCCTGATAGCGTTACAATGAAATATGAGGAACTTTGTTCAGTACACGCATCTCGTCTCTCTCTCTACCTCCTTGGTGATGGTGAATTCAAACCAGTGATTGGCAATAACAGGGCTTGCTAACAAATGCCTTGGAGTCCCATTGAAATACTCTTATGAGACTTGTAATGTTCAGACTTCTTGATGCTACTATGACCCTTTTCTACTGCCCTATGTTCCACACGATTAATCAGTGGTTGCGTCATGAAAATCCAGGATTGCCCAGCTATTCACGCATCATTCTCACTGCTTAAAAGGATGATTCTCTTAATCCATTTACATACTTCAATTGAGTCTTCATTTAAACCAAAGCTTCCACCTCTGCATCATAGGTTCACATAATCACAGAACTAGCATTTCCTTGATCAGGATTTTAGAATGTTACAATA